TTCTCTATTTCTCTCTCTGTGTTTCTTCCTCTCTTATCTCTCTCTCTCTCTTTCTCTCTCTCTCTCCCTCTCTCTCTTTCTCTCTCTCTCTTTCTCTCTCTCTCTCTCTTCCTCTTAGTCTCTCTCTCTCTTTCTCTTTCTCTTAGTCTCAGTCTCTCTCTCTCTTTCTCTCCCTCCCTTGATCACCTGTCTCTCTAACTGTTTATGTCGGTCTATCAACTCTTAAGTTTATGTATGTTTCCGTAGACTCTACTTCTGCTGGGGTAATTGGTCTATTTACAGTGTCTAAATCGAACTTGTGATTTAACATTCATACTTTATTACTTCTGTCGCCGTTGCTTGCCGATAATGATAATTGTTAAAACATGCAGGAGTGTTGTTATCACCCTTACTGTAAACCATTGCCTGGCATATGTTATCACCTGTGCCAAGGAAACCATACATTCAAATACCGTATTGCAAAAACAAAAGCGCTCTGCAGTTTCCAACTTACAAAATATTTCCCCTTGTTGTCCCTGGAAAAACAATTTCTTCCAATTTATTGCCCAGAACTGTGCATTTTATTGCTTCCGACTCTGAGAGCAACGCCATTATATCTACTAACACAAAGTTATGGTGTTATGAGGCTTCACATTCCTGGGAAAAGAGCTTCTACTTCAAAGGTGCCTGTATTTGCAAAGTGTCTAACGGTTTTCTTACCTCTCTGGGTGATAATAGATTTGTATTTGGAGGTCTCACATCTTTACTCACCTACTAGTACATATTGTTGAAGAAAGGGGTGTTTTTACATCAAACAGAAAGATTACCCTTGCTGTCACGCTAACCGTGTGACCACCAAATTATAGTCAAATACTTTTTTTGTCTGTAATAAGAATTATGGATATTGCAACCGTAATTACATTAAGTAATACAATAATGGTTAAAAAAAATAACACTCTACACAAACTCTTGGGCAATTGTGGAAGGTAGTAAGAAAGAACTACAGCACCCCCACCCCCACACCCCACCCCCCCCCCCTCCCTAAGAAAGAAAAAGAGAAAATAAGAGTGTTTGATATAGTCTTGCAAATGGAGAGTTAGAGTTAAACACCGACGTTATGAGACCTCTATACACTTACTTAACCCCTGTATGTTTCTTATTTTCCTCTCCAGGAGAGCCAGCGACTCGAGTATCACAACTCAACTCTACGATCGGAGATCAAACAACTGCACGAGGAGCGGGACCAACTCACTCGCATCATCCGCAGCCACGCCAGCATCTGTCCTCTCACCCCTCGGCAAAGCCCGCTGACGGTTCCACGAGAGAGTCCTTTACCCCAGCAGATCATCAGGGAGAGTCCGATTCCCTTAGCCCCGCCCCGAGTCGGGCTTGTGTCGCCCAGTCCCACACTCGTAGCCCCGCCCCCTCCCTCTCTGGTATCACCGAGCCCCACCCTCGCTCCAGGCCCGCCCACTCTGGTGTCTCCCAGTCCGATCTTGGTTCAAAGTCCCGCTCTCCTAGTCCCGCCAACACGCGAGAGCCCCGTACCTCTCCTTATCATCAACCCCAGCCCGAGAGAGAGCCCTTGTCACATGATCTCCCCGCGACTCCCCAGGAAAAGCCCCGTGGCCTTGCTCAGGCCCAACCCAAGCCTCGCCCCTTTGGCTGACAAGTCCTCCGAAAAGAGTAGCTCCTCAGCTCCGTCAGGATCTCCGCCAAAACAGAGCAAATCCTCTGCTTCCCCTCGTCTCTCCGGACCAAAGCCTGTCATCCCGATCTTACCCAAACCTGCCAGCTCCCCGAAAACAATACGCTCATTCATCACCTCTCCTTTACCCCGCCCCATCACCTCTCCATTGCCTAAACCAATTATCTCCCCCTCACCCCGCCCCATCATCTCCCCACTACCCCGCCCCATCATCTCCCCACTACCCCGCCCTATTATCTCCCCCTTGCCACGCCCCCTGACATCTCCAAAGACACCGAAGGGCGGAGCCATCACGAGCCCTCTTCCAATCGCACAGAGCCCTGTATCTGTAGGAGGCAGGGCCATCCATCAAAGCCCCGTCTTCTTCAGCGACAGTTGTTTCTCGCCATCCACACGACCACTCCCGACCAACCCGAGTCCCGTGTCCTTCACGGATCGCGTATCCGGGAGAAGATCCGTTCACCAAAGCCCAGTATTCTTCTCCGAGAAGCCACCCAACGGTCTGGCCAGTACCGTCAACTCGGCCAACTCCTCGTTGGGCGGAAGTGTCAGCAAATTCCGACATACCTCATCCACCTCGTCCTCCGGCTCTTCCTCCTCCTTGGCATCGCTTCTCAGACAGGAAAGTCCCTTGTCTGTTCTCAGCAACAGCAGTGTTGGATCTTGCAGCAGCGTCTTCCTCAGCAACAGCGGTAACTTCAACAGCAACAACAACAATAGCAACAACAACAACAACAATAGCGGCAGCATCAGTAGTAACAGCATCTCGAACAACATGTGTGTTGATGTCTGTAATCCGAATAATAACAACAGCGGAGCAATGAACACGAACAATGATGACGTCATCGAAGACGCGTTGATTAGCGAAGACCTCGTCCATCAATGCGCAGACGCGCTCAGCACTTCGGCCAACAATTTTACCTCAAGTGAATTCCGAGAAACCAACTCGGTCACTCCTGTCAACGTTTGGGGAAGCTCCAACATGGTACCTTCCAACAACGATTTAGGCTGCGCTCAAACACACAACACTACAGAAAGCACCATCGTTAAGAACTTTTTGACTATGAGCAACAACAACAACACCAACAACAATAATAATAATCACAATCATAACAATTTTAATAACAACAACAATAATGTTAATAATAACAACAACAACAACAATATCATCTCATCCAACAACAAAGCGGGTAACTGCGAAGATGCACTCTCATCCTTCGGCCTGGTGACGCCGCGGCAGATTCAAGGGCTAGGTCAAGGTCACCTATCAAACCAACTCTCAGGTCAGTTTCACAATATCTCTGCTCAAGGTCAGACGTCTGCTGAAAATCAACAACGCGATCTGCTCGGTGGTCAGAGTCATTTCCAGGCTCCGCAACAGCAGCAGCAGCAGCAGCAGCAGCAGCAACAACAACAGCAACAACAACAACAACAGCAACAACAACAGCAGCAACAGCAGCAACAGCAGCAACAGCAGGAACAACTTATGAATGGACTCGGAGGAAACCCTGAACAGACGTATCAGCAAACACATCCGCAGATGCAGCAGCAACAACATCAACAACATCAACAACATCAGCAAACGCTTCATCAATTGCAGCAGCAAACACACCAACAGACACATCAACAAACACCCCAACAGACGCACCAGCTGACACACCAACCAACACACCAACCAACACACCAGCAAACACACCAACCAACACACCAACAAAAACACCAACCAACACACCAACAAACACATCTACAGACACATCAACAAACGCACCAACAAACACATCATCATCAACAACAACAACAACAAACACAGCATCAACAACAACAACAGCAACAGCAACAGCAACACCAGCTGACTCACCAGCAAACCCACCAACAGACACACTTGCAGACACACCAGCAAACGCGCCAACACCAGTTACCAGCTCCCAGTGTGGAGAACCTCACGCCGCTGTCTACCAGCGGACAGAGTGGCCTTCACCCTTCCTTCTCCCGCCCCCTGCCACCGTGTTTAGACGCGGAGGATAACACACTTTCCTTGGAGGAGATTGAAAGAAGCGCAGAAATATGTGAAAATAGTGCGGATCTTCTCGACCTCATAGACATACAGACTCTTCTGGAGCTGTCAGCTGAGCATAACAATGGCGGCAGTCTGTCGCCTCAAGGAAATGGAGGAGCCGTCAGTTCGTCGATCTCGAGAGCTGAGGCCATTAGTTGTTGTAATAACGATAGCATGAGCAACATCGACGCAACAGATGATCTTTTAGCTTTCCACAGTCCGATGGATCTTCTACCGACTCCTCCTGCCCAGCAGATGTGTGGTGTTGGGTTGGACTCGATGGTTCACCGGTACAGCCAGCAGTAACACAAGACAAGGGAACTGACTGTATTTAGTTTTCGTCTTTTGAACATACAGATGTTAGGTGGAAAAAGTCCACTCATGGCTGAGTCAGTGTCTGGATGGTCCTACGTCATGGTATAACGGGAAGCTTTAACCCACTGCGGTGTGGGAATGACTCCAGCCGGTCAGCAGTCTGGCCTTCAGCCCGGGCGTTTTTGACTGCAGTGCAGTCGACCTGGGTTCCAGTCCCTGTAGGAGCGTTCAGAGCCACAACAGTAGCATACTCCGTGCTTCAAAGCGATATCTCACAAAAGATATAGCAGGCTGCGACTGCTTCACGCAGGTAGGGAAGCTACAAAAATGGAGCATAAACAAAAGGGTGGGAAATACAGCGTTTGGACATGCGGGGAGTAATGGTTCTCTGGCGTGCCGAATAAGACCAGTCCAGGACAGCGTTTTTCTGACTGCGTCGACGAGTGTTGTCGGGGCAATACTGTTTGAACAGAAAACCCATACCTCAAAGCCCTATGTGTCTTTTCAATTTTACAGATGATAGACATGTCGTCTTACAGGACAGAACGGAATGGGCAAGACGCAGTGCTCATTATGACTGTCTCATCCTGAACCCATGGTCGTATTTGGCATGATTGCATCTTAAAGACTTACTGAGATTAAGAGTGTTGACTCTTACAAGTATGGTTTGTGAATCAAATCTATTTCGTCGTCGTCGAAAGCCGGCCTTTTATATTACAATTTAGCACTCTGGCTCTACGTCTTTTTGTGAAGGCGACAATATGCGACGACAAGAAAAAGAGAACTTCATGATTACGACTGCGTTGTACACCAAAGAGTGAGGTTCCCACGACACGATATGTTAATGCTTTGTGAATGTGAACGAAAACCCCTCACAATAATCATGCATTAGACCTTACTGTGACACTTTGTGACTGTCGACGAGGAACGCCTCAATAACTCATGTTCATGCTTTGATGGTAGATAGTTGTTACAATGAACAACTGTCTCCGTACAGTTACGATTGTTTCTTCAGCAAAAAAGGCATTTCTTATAGTCCCTTTCTGCCAAACGTCTCAGCGAAGAAGAAAGCCCAACACAACCGAGACCAAACCATTCTTCAACATTTTCTGTTTTTAGAAAAACTCGAAGTATTATTTCATTAGTCATTTTGTGCTGTTTCATTCAACAAGATACATTGAGACTACCCAGCAAACATCGAAGTCTAATTATTTAAAGCTTCGTTTTAATTTCCATTTTCGGGAAATCGAAACAGTCCGGTTTTTTTAACTTTCCAATTGGCAAGCATGTCACGTACGCCAAGGCAGTGTTTTGCTTACGACATTACCCCCGCCGCCTAAAAGTCTTGGTCCCTGTTTATGTACTTTTATTTCTGTGGTTCCCTGGCAGTCCAAGATGGTGAACTAGCCAAAGCAAATCAAGCATCAAATTGTATCAAATGAGATGCTAAACGTTTGTCCTTGTTTGTCAAAAGAAGATACTTGGTCAACGAAAAGAAAAAAGAGTTCTAGTAACTTTTATTGTGGCCCTGGGCACATAGTGTATTCTGTACTTAAAGCACTTCTGTCAAGAGTGACTGGCAACAAAGAATTGGGCAAAAAACAGAAGGTGCTATTGCTTTTCGGGGAGGCTTCTGTATGTCAAGTTGTTTACACACACACTCACACACACACACACACACACACACACACACACACACACACACACACACACACACACACGCACACACACACACACACACACACACACACGCACGCACATACAAAACATGTTTATATACATCTATAAATATCAAAGTAAACAGAAGAATAATTTCGGCAGTTTGCGAGATCAAAATCTATTAACTTAGTTCAATTTTTATTTTGAAGTAACTGAGATAGTAGGCCAAAATATACCCAGAACAGGTATTTAAGTGAGGCACTATGACCTCTGTGCAGATAATACTAAAGAACTAATTATAGAAATGTGATGAAAATAAGATTTGGGTTTGTAATCTTCAAACCGGCAATGAGCTGCTTTTGAACACCATTTTCAGGTATATTTTATCTCTACCTTCGCACCCTCTGTCGTTTTTCCCAAGTCTGTGCCTGGTGCGAATGTTTTGTTCTTGTAAACGACTGAGTCCGGATATCCGGATACGGCGTGATCGGAGACTGTGACAGCCTCATGGGCAGCAACTCTTGTGGGGGACAGAGGCCGATCACGTAAATCCCAGAGTCCAAAGGTTCTCTTGACCTCATGCAGAACGAGCAACCTTTGACCCTGGGTCAACGAAAGGCTTCTGTCCTCACTGGACATAATTTTCTTCGGAAATAACCATAACTTTGCAATGATTGTAAATCAGATTTTTGTTGGAAGAAGAACTACAACCGTGTTCGGCGTCTGTACAGTAATTATTGAACCCTTATTTATTTGAATATACGAGATTTTTTAAAAGATTAAGTACTACTAATCAGAATACCAGTTGATTCGGGGTTATAGGAAGAGTCAGGCTGCAAAGTAATGGGATGGCTATCTCTAAAAAAAAAAAGTATTCTAAGGATATTTCTTACGCCCAGACGTTGAAAATATACAAGGGAAAAATGACAAACTCAATATTTAAAAGAACAGTGAACATTTACACTGAGCTCTAGCCCTGCCAAAGTCTCTTTTGTCCTAAAGTTCAATTCTCTATTCATCTCCTGAATTTGTCCATCACCCCAACTCTATTCATCTCTCTCTTCAGCTTTTGACTGCTGTGTCTATAACGCACCAAGTAGATTCTAATATCTCTGTTAAAAGTTAAATAGCTTTTCCTTACTGCCTTCCGCAATTTCTGCCAACATAGGCCTACCTGCCAAACAACCTTCCCCTCTATCTATTTATCTATCTATCTATCTATCTATTTATCTATCTATCTATCTATCTATCTATCTATCTATCTATCTATCTATCTATCTATCAGTTCTCGACCCGGTGTCAAGACGGGCGGACCAAGAACGTAGCCTCACGAGGTGTCTAGAGGGGTTTGACTCTGACTGATGTATACAAAAACAAAAACAGATGCAGTCCAAATAGCTGGGCTCTGAAGAGTTTGAACTTGTTTTTGTTTTTGTTTTTTTTTTGGCGCATTTTTCTACTCTTCATTTTTTGTATGCAGATATTGTAAATACTTATAATTTATGATGACCAATGAATCTTGAATTTCTCTTGTGCATTCGTATTTAACGTGTATAATATTATCCATACTTCTTTGTACTGTTCTGTATACTGTATTAATTAATGATATTGCCAGATCCCACTTGATAACTCAGGTTTTTTTGGATAAAGACATCAATGACTCAACTGTATATCCATTTTTACGACAGTATGCTCCACATAAAAGCCATGAGAATATGTCATAGCAGCTGATATGAAGCTTGCTTCTCTCCTTTCGAGTATGCTTGTGTTTTTACATGAGTCATAGGTAACTGACTACAGAAGATTCGTACATTGATTTTGAAAGACTAGGGTTTTCTGTGTTTGTTCCTTCTACGATATTTATAAAACATTACAACGTATTAGATGCTTTATTGTTTTCTATTCAAAACTTTGCAAAAAATTATCCTTTAACTACTCAGAGTTTGTTGTGTGTCTCTTTACTGCGACTGTAATCAATTCGTATCCTTTTTGTCTTATTTAAGCGAGGTGCTAATGGCTTTCTTCAATGTACGTTTATGGAGCCGTCAGCAATTTCCTGTATTATCTTTATGTCAACGTAAAGAATCTAGAGCAAGGCTTGAAGTCGTATCAGAAAATGATGTGGACTAATCTTTTTTTTCTATAATATCCGATATAGTAGGTGTAGATATTCTCGAAGCATTTTGGACACTTGATATTCTGTCGATAGATCTTACGCCAGAAATGACTTCGAAAAGGCAGAAGGTCTAATATCAAACTTAATTTGTAGATTGGCATGATGGTTTTTCCACCGGGTTGTTGTTGTTGCTGTTGAAGAACTTGACTGTCATATAAAAGTTGCAAGCAAATGGACCTCGAACAGTTTCCATTCGACCAGCAACACTTTTCCCTTTTGCTCGCAATTAGATGACCTACCTAGAGATACATCTTGAGCGAAGTTGAGTCCAAACAGGGTACATACCTTCCTTTAAGATAAAAGGAAAGTAGAACAATTTCATAATAGAACTGTGTTTTCATTTTCTTACTTTCAAATATTAATTAGTTATAAAAAGCCAGTATGAACCCGGAAAAGATAACTCAACGAACCCACAAATCTTAAAACAGGTTGTATCTTCCGTATCAAATTACTGCAAGAGATGAGCTCCTTTGTGACAGCAAACTGAGACCATTGAGAAAGTGCACATACAAAACCCCCCCAACAGTTTTGGACTTTTGAAATAAATAAAACGGGGATGTTGCCCCTGAACTCAATTATTGTTTGTAAGTGGGGAAGGGGGAGGGCGGGGTGATGGGAAGATCTCTTTGACTTTTTATTGCGTACAGTCGGAGATAACAACAGTTATGATCATACTTCCTGCACATACTTCAGCTTTCCCCTAAAAATACACTACTTTATGTTGAGCAGTAAATGTAGGCTCACGCGCGAAAGCTGTGAATGCTGTGCTTCTATTTGTGCTGTGAGTAACGACCAATATGGAAATATAACAATCGTTAAAAGTCCCTGACGTTGTGGTTTTTTAAATCTAATGTTTGAAAAAAAAGAAAAAAGACTGGGATCTTCTGTATATGATACGGTTTAGATCTTTACCATGTGTAAATTAACTGTACATTATTTACTTTGCGACAAAATTCTGTGCGTATTATGCGACGCGTTTAATTTCATGTTGTTTATGCCTTTTTTGTCTTTATTTTGTTTGTTGGTTTGTTGTTGTTTTTGTTTTTGTTTTGTTGATATCGACTTAAAGAATTAATTTCTTTGTATTTCTTGCCATTGTGTGAAAGTTTCGATTTGATTGCCATGTTCTCTTGGCACGTAATGGATTTGCAGTGATTGCTTAAATAAATTGGTCTTTTGCCTGTCATTATCAGCAAAAGCACAAAGAAGCAAAACATGTTTTATTATTTTATGTGAAAGCATTTCCCCAGTAACTTGGGTTGGTAACAAGAAAGTAATATATTTAATTGAATGATGTATCTCCGTTGTTCCCTACTACCATATGACATTACATTATATCTTGGGGCTGGTTCTTCCCTTGTGCATTTCAAATAGTTTTTTGGTATATCTGGCTGTGTTTTCTGTTGCTCGTGCCACTGCTAGTTAGTGTGTTTGTTAGTGTTAGTCATGTGGATGGCATTATCCTCTCCGCGGAGACCCCTGTGATGAAAGAAAAAAATGGCTGTTGTTGCTTCCAGACTTATAAGCATCAGTTATTGCCCGCCCTTTGCCACCCCTGAAGTTTTTCTTTTTTCGGCGTCAAATTTTGTTATGAAGACATTATTTTGTTAAACGTACCATTTCAGTATCCGATATGAACAGATTGTTCTAATTAAATGGCATGGGTATTCTCAAACTGGGGGCTGGTTCAGGTCTTTGACATTTTTAGTTTAAGTACAAGCAAGCTGGTTTTTAGCATGGAGAAGCTTTGCTCTCTTGGGTAACAACGTGAAAACAAGTTCGAGAGGCTTTGAAGTATACACGTATTTCTCAAGTAATTAAAAGCACTTTGCCTGGAGCTAGACTGGTTCGTCCCAAATCCTTATATTTAAAGAGATAATTGGTTTATGGTTTGTAAAGGTGAAACGAGGTACAAATGCATGTATGCTGTTAAGCCCCACAAATGATTTGTATTTTTATGGATTATAAGCGGTTTGTATTTCCTAAGTAATTAATAATGCGTTTCCCTGCCTTCCAAATACTCTTATTCCACTTACTAATTTACAAGACTGTGATTTCATAGTATAACTTTCCCTTTCTTTTTACCGGAAAGGATATGGAAAGAAACAATAAATGTAAGTAAAGATAGATAGATAGATAGATAGATAGATAGATAGATAGATAGATAGATAGATAGA